TCAAAATTTTCAAGCACCCTAAATCAAAGTTCCAATCCAAAATAAAATAGGAATCTAAGATGAATATGCACTTCTCAGGTGAAGAAATACAAAAGCAAATGAATACATGAAAAAAGTCAACTTCATTTTTCAGTCAACAAATGAAAATTGAAACAATACTAAATTGCATGACACTCCAGAAATATGTTAATCATGAAGATATCAATCATAATAAATATTGGCAGAGCTGCATGTAAAAAGGAGCACATGGACCAGGGGTTTGCTTTAGTGACTCAATTTCCTGTCCAGCAAGTGCATCATCATAAATTCAATCCCCAGCACTGGGCATGGGGAATATTTATCCACTGTTACAGTATTACAGACTGGTAAAACCTATGTAGATATCAGAATGGAGATGCCAAAAAACTAAGATTTGAGCTGTCTTTCAATTCATCTATTTTTCTTCTTGGAATGTTCCCAGAATAATTAAAAATATCTCAATCAACATAAAGCATCCACTTTTATAGTAGCTCAATTTGTAATAGCTAAATCCAAGAAAAAACACAAATCCCCATTAGGGGATGGAATAGAGAAATAGATGTGGTAATTCAATGCAATGTAGAACTACTTAACCATCAAGAAATAAGCTACATTCCTTTATATGTAAATGAATGTAACTGGAGGCAATAACAATCCAATAAATCATACATACATGAGCAAATACAGTGTTGTCCTTTCAGTACAATAAACTCAATTTATTAATAAAATCCAAAACATATAAACATATTGTGAAACAGAAAGATATTATTTGAAAGGAAGGAACAATTGGGGTGAGGAAACAAAGAAAAGAGAAAGAAAAATAATTACATGCATACATACATACATACATACATACATACATGCATACATATATACATGCATGCATACATGTGTATGATTATAAATTTTAGTTTTTACATATATATGTAAATATATGATAACTAAGATAGTAGTACTATTATTTTTTAATTTCACTAAAAAATACGTTTTTTGTTTATATTGCTTGCTTAAGTTTGAAGGCCTACATTTTGTTTTCTGAGAAACTGTTCTGAAGACAATATGTAGTTTATTTCCCTTTCTTAATTTCTTATTATCTTGTCTTGAAATACTGTAGTATTGCTTCTATAGGTTTTCCCTATAAAATGAAATTAAGAAAAAGAAAACACCATGTGTACCATTTAAGCTATGGCCTCACTGCAATTGATGAAGAATAGTATCATGGCTGCTTTGAAATGCACATGAATGTTTATCCAACAAAACAATAAAACCATTAGAGTTCTTTGATACATGGAAGCTTACCCTTCTATATTTTTGTGACAAACTTCTAGAGCTTTCCAAAACAAAAACAAAAACCTAGGAGCAAAACAAGATATGTCAATATTGTAAATGGTTAAATAAACAAATAAGAGTGTTTTCTGTGGACTAGCAATGGCAGCAGTTTGCATAATTTAAGAGTTAGATGAATGCAGCATTTTGGATTGGCATGCTGTGATTATTTCAGCTCAGGATAACAAGACATAACACAGTTTTGTTTGTTGTTTTTCTTTTTATTGTTGTTTTGTTTTCTAAACAACAGATGATACCTTCTTCACAATCCACCACTCAATTAAAAACAGTCCCTGTTCTATGATGCATTAAGTGTAGTCTTAGTTATACCTTTCCTGTCAGCCATGGTATTTAGTATTTCCTGACCACCGAGGATTTGGGAGAGGTCAGAGGGTTGCAAACTGCTGATTTAGTATAACACCTTAGGCTTTTAGCTACCCAATTATTACTGTTAGAGTATTTCTTTCTATGCATGAACTGAAGTCTGTGGTCTTTCTAGGAGAAAGAACATTTTATTTTTACTTGTCAGCATTTTCTAGTCGTATTGCTGATACTTGCTGATTCTGATTTTTAGAAAGTTGGCATATTATAGGACCATCTTACAACTATTGTCATGGGAATGCATCGTGAATACATTCAAGCATTTTTAATCTATGAATGTGTCTTTATGCATACCTCCTGCCACACACTGACACTCCTAGCAAATATTGCCCTTCAGAAGGTAAGGATGACTTTTTTTCCAAAAGGGATTATAGATTCTTATTTCATAACTGAGTTGTAGTCATACTACCTCAAAATTATAATATTGTGGAACTACATAATTGGGCCATTAAACAAATTAAATCATAGTGCAGTAAAATTCAAGGCAATAAAATTAGTAAGCTTACATTAAAATTCAAAAATTAAATGCATGTTAACAGACTTTATTATATGAAGAATGATTTTTAAATAATCCTTTGTACTTTCACAATATTTTCCTCAACCACTTACTTTCCAGGCTTACTACCTACTTATTCTAAACTAAAATAGGATACTTCAATAGCATAGTGTTTTAATAAAACAAGCTCTGTAAAATAGATCTCAATATGTATCTTTCTTGAGCCACAGACTCATTCTCTTCAGTCCCAAATAGGTTTCAGAATATGCAGATGCTAGCCCCATGAGACCAAACCTGATTTGTTATCCACAAGAATGAGTAGCTGAAGATAGCTGAAAGTGACAACAAATGTGGGGCTAAGCTGTGAATTCGCTTCCCACCCTCTCTTACTGTGAAAGACTTGTTCACAAGTTATCTTTCAATAAATTCATTGTTGTTTTACCCAAATATATGAATTCATTTGATTTGATCAGCAGTGAGCAAAGAATCTTGAATATATGAGCTTAAGAGATCATAAATGCAGGCAGTTCTTAGACAGTCTTGCACTTTAGAAGCTCTTGCTATTCACCCACCATGAGTATACTGTCACTTCAAGGACCTGCACCCTAGGAAGTGAAGCAGAGCCAGGACAGAAAGATATCATACCGGACACCAGGCTGATGGTACAGATCCAACTTTAATGCGAAGGCCTGTCCTCTTACATAGGCAGGTAGGGATAAAACACGGATGGGGCCAGTGGCTAGACGGCTTGGAAGGGCTTCTCATGACAGGGATAGAATGGAGCTGGGTGGCATCTGGCAGATGACTCACTTGGTCTGCCACCATATTTTCCTGTCTGAGTCTGCTCAGACTCTCTTCTCTGCCAGAGCAGTCAACTAGACTGCCAGAACTTTACTCCCCTTAGAAGAAAAAAGGAGAAACAGAGAAAAGTGAACACTCCTGTAATCCCACTTACTCTGGAGCCAGAGTATGAGACAGGATCATAAATCTGAGTACTCCCTGGGCAACTTAATGACACTGTATCAAAGCTTAAATTAGAAATGATTGGTGATACTTAGCAAAGTGACATATTAGTGTAAGCACTGAATTAAAAGTCAGAAACATAAGAATCACTGTGATGATGAAATGATGAAAAGAAAACTTTAAAAGCATAACTAAAATCAAATGGATAACATCCCAAATAACTGTCTTATTCTGTTCCTGATATCTTGTTTGGGCAATCTGCTTCTGGTATCCACCTTGTATAGTTCACCTCTAAATCACTATTATTAACCATGTTCAATTCTGCCCCATAACTCATCCTTAAATTTTTTATGTTAGTTCTCTGTAAAATAAAACCTCAACAAACACTGGGGCTGAGCATTTGGAGTCTGGGCTCAGAATTCAAACTATGTAACTCCTCTGAGCCAACAAACCTAATAAAGTTTTCTTTCTTCCATTTTTCCAAGTGCCTGTAAGTTTCTTCAACTCTGGTACGTCTAACACTCCTGTTATAAAATGTACCTAATTCGGTTAGCCATTTACAGGTTTGCACATCCTTGGCTACAGTAATGTTATGCTTGTTTAATCACATTTGCTTGAAACTAAATGAAAAGCTCTGTAAATATTCTTCTGAAAAATATTAAGAAATATCAATTATTGTCTATACTAGTATTTCAGTAGAGTATAATAATATACATTGGAAAATATTTAATTGCTAATTTCTAGCTAACATCTAAAATTTAGGTTCATGTCTGAAATAAAATAAAGGACTTTGGAAAATGAAAAGTAGTATAAGTCAAGAGTTAGACAAATACATATAAAAGACAATGATTTTGTTGTTGATGCTGGTACAGTGGTATAATGTGTAATTTTATTTTCACTTACAGTAATAATATGGAAAATAATATTTTAGAAATCTATGTTTAGAAACTCCATTTAGCTAGACACATTACTTGCAGAGTGGTAGGGCCCAGCACAGCAGTCCCCATTTTTGGAGGGTCCTTGGAAAGATCCTTTCAGGCCTAATTGGGCTTTATCCAGTGACCATCAGATGGTCCACCACCACCTGTACACCACTCATGAGCCAAAGATGTGTGCAGCAAACTCCATTTCACAGTGCAGCATTCGCACATCACTTGAACTGTGGGAGAACCCTGCCCAACATCCCTCATTACCAGAATACCCTAAGGAAGGTCCTTCTGAGTCTAGCTGGGCTCTGTACACTGAATCGTAAGTGACCATCTGTGCTATGCCTCAAGAGCAAAAATTGCATGCAGTGATCTCCATCCAGCCAATTCAACCCCATTAAGTCACCCAATGTATCCCATGAAAGATATAAATAAACATGTACAAGGAGATACTTATAAAAATATTAGTATGGATAGTGATGCTTTTCTGAAGGAGGTCTTATCAATTTACAACAAACAGTAAATTTCACAGAAAAAAATTCAAGTTTGTGACAAATTTTGTTACGTGTCATCCCACTGCTTACCATTGCTTATATTTTGTCTTTTACATATTTTGTTAATGAGGGTATAAATCTAAGTCAAAACATGGAAGAATTATAAGGTTATGATTCTAATTTAGTGGGACTTTTCTTATTACTGTTTTGTTCTGGAATATCTGCATTTGAAAACATTACCAAAGTTATAGTTGCTAGTTACATGAACTTATTTGAACAGCAGCATTAGCATAGAATAATGATAAAATTTATACTTAGATGTAATTTTATATATATTTCTATAAAATGAATATTTTAAAATAAATACTAGCTGAGTCATAGGAAACTATTCATGCATAACAGCCTACAGTGTGCTTGGGTCTGTGTTGGTCCTGTGCATTTCTATAGCACTTGCTAGGACAATTTTGGAATAGTTTGAGGCCTTGCCCTGTTCTATGCAGAGAGAGTTCCTGGAAATTTCAGACAGTTGCAAAATAAGATGGAGACACACACACACACACACACACACACACACACACACACACACACACAGAGACAGAGAGAGAGAGAGAGAGAGACAGAGACAGAGACAGAGACAGAGACAGAGAGAGAGAGAGAGAGAGAGACAGAGACAGAGACAGAGACAGAGACAGAGACAGAGATGGAGAGAGAGGAGAGAGACAGAGAAAGAGACAGAGGGAGACAGAGAGAGAGACAGAGAAAGACAGAGAAAGACAGAGAGAGGAACAGAGGAACAGAGAGAAAGGAAAGGAAAGGAAAGGAAAGGAAAGGAAAGGAAAGGAAAGCAAAGGAAAGGAAAGGAAAGCAAAGGAAAGGAAAGCAAAGGAAAGGAAAGCAAAGGAAAGGAAGGGGAAAAAGACATGCCTACATATTGAAACATGGAACTCCTTCCACCACTAAAAAGATGCTAGGTTTCTAGCTTATCTTAATGGTTGAAGGACAGTTCTCACTGAGGAACAATGACCTGATTTTCCTCAGCACTCTGAAAGAAATTTCAAGAATGTTCTTTTCTTTTACTAGACTTACTCAAGTTTTATTTACTGGACTCACTCCTAACCTTTTCTTGCCACGTCACACTTTGCTTTTCCAGCCATGTAAAATTACAGGAGGAGAATAAACTCTATATGCTCTTTCTAACACTTTCTACTTTTCAGTGACTAAGTGAAGCTCACAGAAAATGAGCATCTGCTAACACGAAAGACAAGGAAGTCACCTTGGATAACTGATACATACCTCATCTTTTGTACAGTTGGAACATCAGCATTTTGCCCTTCCAGAAGTACACTCAGGAAAGCCATGTCTTGACAGTATTGTGCATTGGTCTCCCTTGAGAGGCTGAACCTGATATTGGAAAGGCTGACTTTTGGATGAAGCTAAAGCACCACATTCATGAAACTAAAACACAAGAAGAATAGACCTAGTACATGATGTAAAAACAATACCAGGTGATCAACAATGGTTACCATTATGCCTCTTGCTATCTAAAAATATCATCAGGTATAATAGAATTGAACAAAACAGTACAGAACAAAAACAATAAAACCTAAACATTGAAGACATAACAAGACTTCAAAAGAAGATAATGGTCAAACCATAATGGGCATCATAGTGAATTTTATTGCCTTCAAAATGGTTGCCTATACTCTCAAATTTGATACTATCAATCAAAACAGAATAGAGTAAAAACAGTCAAAACAAGATGGGGAGAGCAATACGGGGGTTCAAATCAGGTTAATAGGAAAACAAAAATGTTACTATAATATATCATGCTATTTTTAAATTTATTTTTCCCTTAATTAAAAAAATAACTTTTAAAAATATAAAAAAGGAAGATTGAGATAAAAGAGGACATAACAACAAAACAAAACAGGTCAGAACAGAACAATTTAAGCATCATAGTGTTGGCCTCCCCATCCCTGATGCACTTGGAAAACTGTGGAGCTTCCAACAAGTAGGCAGGTGCATGCTATCTCCAGAGATCAGCCTGTTTGGGATTCCTGTGCCTCGCAATCGGTGTGCAGAGGAGGGGCTGGGTGGATCTGGGGCGCCTGCACCTGCCTCCCCGTGTGCCTGGAGGATTGTGGATGTCTCAGCGGGCAGGGGAGCATTGCAGGTTCCAGAGGCCCCGCGGCCTGTGGTGAGTGCTCAGCACACTCTGCCCAAAGCCCAGACTGTTCGGGACCCTCCAGGATTCTGGGTGCAGTGAAGTGGAGAAGTGGGTTTGAGGTGTCTACATCCGCCTCCCCATCCCGGATGCATTTGGAAAGCTGGGAAGCTTCCAACAAGCAGGTGGGTGCACAGTGTCCCTGAAGACCAGCTTATCTGGAACCATGGAATTCTAAACAGGCAGAAGAGGGCCATTGGTTCTGCAGGCCCAGTGGCTTGGGGTAACTGGGTGCCAGAGTCTCAGGAGCTACAAACATAGAAGGGGATTTCCAACAGACCCCGAGGAAGCTTTCAAAGAACATGTGAAACACAGAAATATGGGAAAATGACAAAACAAAAGACCAAATTACAACCTCAAACCTCCAACCCATCTCAAGAAACTCTAGGAGAAATGTATATAGAAGAAAATATATGCCATTCACCTCAAATATTGGACACAATAGCTACTGAAATTAATAAGCAACTCCAGGAAGCTTTAAAAAATTCAAACTCGAAATAATCTCACAGGTAAAAGAAGAAATGATAACAGAAATGAAAGAGATTCTGAATATATTGAAAGAAAACACAGTTAAAAAACTAGAGAAATTAAAAAAAAGAATCTCTAGATGAGCAATATAGGAAACAAACAGAATACATAATGAATATCCACAGAGATTTACAGAAAATAAAAAAAACTACATTGAAAGTTGTAAAAACCACCTTAATAAAAGTGAAGATAGAATTTCAGACCTTGAAGACAGGATTGCAGCTAGTGAACAAAAATGGAAAGATCTTTTAAAAATAACAAGGAATCAGGAAACAACAATTCAACACCTGCAAGATGATGCAAAGAAAAATAACATGAGATTGATAGTAATTAATGAAAAAGAAGGAGACAACATAAAGGACGTCAGGAGAATATTTAGAGAAGTAAAAGCTGAAAATTTCACAAGCATGAGATCAGAAACTGACATCAGGATCAGTGAAGCATATAGAACTCCAAATATTCATAACCAAAAGAAAACTACACCCAGACATATAATAATCACCATCCCAGAAATCCAACACAAGAATAGATTATTAAAAGCTGTCAGAGAGAAAAGACAGATCACTTATAAAGAAAAACTATCAGCTTCACAGCAGACTTCTCAGCACAAACAAAAAAGTCAAGAAGAGCATGGAGTGAAGTATTCCAGATCCTAAAGCAAAATGATTACCAACCTAGACTGATGTATCCTGCAAAACTGTCATTCAAAATTGATGGCAAAATATGATACTTCAAAGAAAGAACAGCTGAAGAACTTCATGAACACCAAACCAACCCTGCAAAAAATATTGAAAGACAGTTTAGATACACAAAGGAAAAAACCACTAAGCAAAGCAGATAATTAAACAGAACAGAAAGATAAAGATGCAACAGTAGAGAGATAACATGTCAATAATACACCAGCATTTAACAGTAATAACCATTAATGTAAATGGTTTCAATGCACCAACCAAAAGAAATAGAGTAGCAGAATGGATCAAGAAACAAAATCCAACCATATGCTGTTTACAGGAAACCCACCTAACCCAGAAGGATACTCACAACTGAACATCAAAGGATGGAAAACTATACTTCATGCAACAGGAATCCAAAAAAAGGCAGGAGTAGCCATTCTGTTTGCCGACAACATGAACTTTAAACCAATAATGACCATAAAGGACAAAGAAGGTCATTACATACTCGTAAGTGGAAAACTCCAAGAGGAAGAGATAACATAAGATTGATAGTAATCTTAAATATATATGCACCAAACTCCAGAGCACCCAGTTATAGATATAAAAAAAAAAACTGTTAACAGAAATGAATACTCAAATTATCAGTAACACAATTGTAACAGGAGACCTTAATATGCCATTGACACCAAGGGACAGATCAACCAAACAGCCAGACAAAAAATGAGCACAGAAATAACAGAATTGAATCACATCTGTGAACAAATGGATTTGATAGACATATACAGAATATTCCACCCAACAACATCAGAATACACATTGTTCTCAGCAGTACATGGATCATTCTCTAAAATAGATCACATATTAACTCACAGAACATATTTAAACAAATGCAAAAGAGTTGAAATCTTCCCTTGCATGTTATCAGATCATAGCACTCTGAAATTAGAAATTAATGATAAAAGACACTGCCAAATCCCGCAATCACATGGAAACAGAGTAACACACTCTTGAGTAATCAGTGGGTCACAGAAGAAATTAAAGAAGAAATTAAACAATACCTAAAAGAAAATGAAAATGCAGATACAACTTACTGGAATTTGTGGGATGCAATGAAAGCCATCCTGAGAGGAAAATTTATTTCACTGAATTCCCATATCAGGAAAACAGAATGAATACAAATAGATAACTAGATGCTACACCTCAAACAACTGGAAAAAAAAGAGCAAGTCAAGCCTAAAGCCAAAAGAAGAGAGGAAATTATAAAAATTTGAGCAGAAATCAATGCAATAGAGTCTAAGGAAACAATCCAAAGAATCAACGAATCAAAAAGTTGGTTCTTGAAAGAATAAATAAAATCGATAACCCCTATCGAAACTTATTAAAAAGAGGGGGAAAAAGCTCAAATTCATGCAATAAGAAATGAAAAAGGTGGAATCACTACAGACCCAATAGAAATACAAAAGATCATCAACACCTATTTTGAAAATCTCTACTCTCAAAAGTTTGATAACACAGAAGAAATAGACAGATTCTTAGAAATATATGAGGTACCAAACATATGAAGTACAAAAGCTAGATCAAGAGGATGTAAAACTGTTGAATAACCCAATCTCTGTTAATGAAATTGAAAATGTAATTAAGTCCTTACACACCAAGGAGAGCCCAGGCCCAGATGGATTCACTGCAGAATTCTACAAGAAATACAAAGAAGACCTAATGCTGACACTCCTCATACTATTTGATGAAATTGAAAGGAAGCAATCCTTCCTAACTCATTCCTGCAAGCAAATATTACTTGAATACCAAAACCTGAGAATGACCCAACTAAAAGAGAGAACTATACACTGATCTCCCTAATGAACACAGATGCAAAAATCCTCAATAAAATATTGGCAAATAGGATGCAGCAAATCATCAAGAAGATTATACACCATGACCAAGTGGGATTCATCCCAGGAATGCAAGGATGGTTCAACATGTGTAAATCAATAAATGTAATCCACCATATCAATAAAGCCAAAAATAAGAATCACATGATCATTTCTATAGATGCAGAAAAAGCCTTTGATAAGGTCCAACATTTATTCATGATAAGAACTTTA